ATAATAATAATAATTTTAAAAAAAAAAGTAATGGCAACAACAACAAAAAAGTAATAATGATAACGATAATAATAATAATAATAATAATAATAATAATAATAATAATAATAATAATAATAATAATAATAATAATAATAGTAATTCAATAATAATAATAATGACGATGGTGATGATGATGATGATGATGATGATGATGATGATGATGATGATGATGATGATGATGATGATGATGATGATGATGATGGTGATGATGATGATGATGATGATGGCAATTAGGAATAACAATAGTTTTGTTGAACAGTCTACTATCTGCAAAAATGAAGACTTGTCGTTTATCATGCACTTTTAAAAACTTTATTTATCTGTCCTCAACCGTTGTTTTGGTGGGGGGGGGGGGGGGGGGGGGGGTTTAAGGGCACTTCTGGTATATTGTCCTTTTCTCCGTCTCTTGTTTTATTCGGGCTTCTTCTAGAGTCCCTGAACTAAGGGCCATTATCGTGTATGTGTGTGTGTATGTGTATGTTGTGTGTGTGTATGTATGCTTCTCTTTACTCCAACTCTATTAAAGTAAACACTTTCCCCCAAAGTCATTTTTGTAATGATGACGTCAGACGTCAATTGTAACCATTTCGTCAAAACAAAATGTCACGAGGTAGCTGCAGACAGGGGAACGTAACCCCGTTCTCTTTTTGGGAAAACAAAAACAAAACAACAACAAAAATACAACAAAACAACTCTCCCCCCCCCCACCCCCAAAAAAAGACGAGAACAAGAAATGTCGAACAAACTTTCGTTTATCTTGGCGCAAGTCCTGCTTATTTTATGTAGAAAATGCGCGTAGTATAATTACTTCCAACTTTATTCATCCGACAGAGCAAAATAATACTGTACTATAATAATAATAATAATAATAATAATAATAATAATAATAATAATAATAATAATAATATTACTTTTAGACGAAAAAAAACCATATTGTGATTGCCTCAGGGTGTAAGCGACGTTTACGAATACCCACACACATGTTATTTTAAGCTAATACATGTACGACAGCGTGTTTGTTAAAGTGGACTCCCCCATCGACACCCATCAACAGAATTTTGATCATTTAGGAGCAAGGCTGCTTCGACCGTGGCTGTTAGGACATACACGGGCTGAGTGAGGAACAGCATCCCATAAGAAAGGCAGAGATGCTCAATAAAATAGACTTTGCCCCTCGGGAATCGAACCCACATCTTTAGCGTGTAACAGTGAAGAGCTTTACCATTGCACCACAGACGCTGGTAAGTATATCTCTGATGCCCATTCAGAAAAAAAAAAAAAAAAACAAAATGTCATCATGTTACCAACGCGCACGAATTAACCGGCCTTATAAAAAAAACCCTATCATTTGAAAACAAGATACCGCGACCTGTCTCTTAGCACATCGCTATTTCTGCACTGCCTCTCACCTCTTTTTTACTCTCTTTCAGCGCATTTCGCGTAAAATAGTAGCAGCTTTCTAAACCATACAAAATGCTTGGTGATATATAAAACGCAAATTTGTAGTATGCCTAACACATCAGTATTTCCGCACTACCTGTTAATTTTTTTAAATATTTTTTATTGAGGGGGGGGGGGGGGGGTTGACCTCCTAGAGTGCCTTTTGTGTGAAATAACAGTAACTTTTTTAAGGCATGGAAATACTTGGAGTTGCATAAATGCATAAAACGCAATTGTAGTAAGATGATTAGGTTATTACTTGTTGCGTTCTGTCGGCACAATACTGTTCCGATTACACTAATATATGCATACATTCAAGAATAAGAGTCATTATTGCACGCGTATGTTGGGAAATTTTTTGTAATTTGGCTCATCAAAATTCCTTCTGACTGCATGCGGGTATTGAATAAATTAAGGAGGGTGCAAGAGTAGCTTTGTTTGTTCATTGTTAGGGGATTTCTTATCTTTTTTTTAAAATGGTAAAACTCATTGAGCTTGCTGTTGAGCGGGAATTTGCGCTATACAAATGCTATATATTATTATTCGGTCTGTCTGTCTGTCTGTCTGTCTGTCTGTCTCTTGGTTTTGTGTATTTATTGTGCCTGCGAGTGCGCGCCTGTGAGTGTGTGTGTGTGTGTGTGTGTGT